TTTTCGTACTATTATGGGATAAGAAAAACATCATGGAGTGGGCCCACAAAATTGGACTTGAAGCATGTTATGTGCTTGAATGGACTGGTGTTACCAACTTCTAGTGTTGATGCCCTGCATGAAAAGATTAGATTGGGCTCAATTTATGGACCCAAAATTTACAGGTTAACATATGCTTGCAAAGGCATGCACTTGCATTGGCTGTGGGAACCTGTACTGGGTCCTGTATATCATCTTGTGGATGGTCTTAGACTGACTCGGGATTTTGAAAATAGTTGGTGAAGAGATGATTTGAAGCACCATTCTTTCCTGCTTCTGGACTGAAATACTGGTGAATGATAATTATAACAAAAAATGCCACTTTAAGCTAATTTTGTTAAACCTAGTTCTTTGTTAACTTCATTGCCTGATATATTTAACTTCTTGACCTTTGGTTGCAGTTCATGGATTCGGCTGTTGAACTTATGAACAAGTCCTTTATTGACCGCTAGTGGTGTTTAGGCTGTGAGAGAGGATGGGACATGCCTTATAAAAGCGAAGCAAACGCCAAGTGTAGTTGGCCCTGTATTTTTCCCCGTCCCGTTTTGATTGGTACTCTGGAACTTTTTGTACTGAAGAGTCACATATAGTGAAGGATTTGCGCCTTCTCTCCATGCACTGTCCACACCCACGCTCCACGGGGTTTCAAACCTGGATGCCATGTGGAGCTATAGAGTTTTAATTTGTATCTGAACTTGCTCCTCTCGATGTTTGTTACTGAAAGATCGTACCCAATTCATTCACTGGTCTAGAGTATATATCTTTTCAGAGCATGGGGGTATTATCACTTCTGGTTGTGGGAAGGAGATGCTCGTTTAGAGGTTGCGTTAGTTTCTCAAACTCGATAATAACGGAGAACAGCGGTATATCCTTGTTGCATAATGTCAGAACGTACAAAATTGCAGTACAGTCAATATTCTCCTTAGGCCTCTTTTATCCGGTGATGGAACCTCCTGACACACAAATTTGGTTGAATTGCAAGAAAATCTTGCATTTCAACACGACTCATTTCGGCACATCTTGATTCTTGAGGTGCCATTTCCTCCTTCTTAGGCATATGGTTTACCAATGTGAGACCACAAGGTACTAAGAGCATCCAGAATTTTCGGTGCTTGCTATCTTCGTAATAGAGCAAATGCTTTTTACCTTGTTCCGTAGATGATCGCATATATATAAACGTAGCAGTTGACAGGTTTAGATTCACAGTCAATGTGTATAAGATTTATTCTTATTATAATGGGATAGAGAGTTAGAGACAAAACGAGTATACCAACTGCTATAAGACTGGCTTCTATTATAGCAAAAGTGAATGACAAATTCTGTAGACAACAGACCAGAAATAGTGATGCAAAAAGGAAGATAAAACTTTCCCTTGATCATAAAATCCAAATTAATATAAAATTCGTGGGGATAGACCTAATGGGAGAAGCCTCTTGAACATGTAATCCACAAGGAGATTTGAGTGTTTTCCAGCGAGTATGCCATGTAAGATGTTTGGAGCCATTTCCATGCCCCCTTTTTTTTTTTTTTCTTTGGTCTATTAATTCTTGCTCACTTTGCCACCTAGTACCTTGTATAAGAAGGATACTATGCTTGTGGTATCTTGTAATAACTATGCTTGTGGTATCTTGTAATAACTATGGACCACTATCAAGTAGCCATGCAAGAAGCGGAAATGCGTAAAGGTCCCTGGCTTGAGGAGGAAGATGAAAGATTAATTGCTGCTGTATCTATCCTAGGAGAACGACGATGGGGTTCTTTAGCAAAAGCATCAGGTGATGATTCTGCATCCATCCATCATATGGATCTTGACTTTTGAAGCTAGCATGAGCTGGTAATATATGTAAAAAAGTTGCACATGCATATGCAGGGTTAAGGAGGAGTGGAAGGAGCTGCAGGTTGCGATGGATGAACTACCTCCGCCCCAATCTAAAACACGGCCATATTACTGAAGAAGAGGAGCATCTCATTGTTCAACTTCATAAACAATGGGGTAACAGGTACTTTTCTTTATCTACTTCCTTCACAAAGATGATTAACACATACGCAAAACAGTTCACAGTAGACAGGTTGTAGAACTAACTAGACAGAAGAAATTTAAGACAACAAAAGAAAAGCTAGCTAGCCAAACACCGGAATAAAGCAAGCATTCCTTTTTCCATGATTAAATTAGATGATTCGCTATCCATTTTGCAGGTGGTCAAGGATTGCTCGTAGTTTGCCTGGAAGAACTGATAACGAAATAAAGAATTATTGGAGAACTCATCTAAGAAAGAAAGCATTAATTCTGGAAGAAGGTCTATAGGGAATTCTTCATGCTTCATGATTTTGTTGCACTTCGATTTTGAGCCATTCTTCCCTGACATTTTTTTTTTACGTGCTTATAAATTATAATTGCATCTTGTTCTTTGCTTCCCTGACACATTCGTAATGTTATTGCAGAAAGCTCCGCGTCCAACAGTCGACAGAGTGTTACTACAACTGCTAGTACTGCTGCTACTACAAATAATTCCGAGCAAAACTCTCCACTTGGAATATGTGAAGCCTTCAGTTCCTTGCATTCGAACAATGGAGACTGGGATTCTGAGAAGGACGATTATAATCTGAGGACTTGTGGTGACCTTTCTGGCGAGGTTGAGAAGCTATCCAGCTTGGGATGAGCCTATTCACCTTATGCAACGAGATTAACAGACTGGACGTCAAACTGGCCTAATTTGGAAAATTGTGTTGACGAGTATTCTTCTAGTGGATATGATGATGAGAGTAATTTGTGGGATGGTTCACTCTTCATTTGGAACATGCACTAGTTAGTTCTAAAGGGCATTAATTTGCCACCAAAAACAAATAATAAATGTTGTAGACTTGTATTATATGTGTTCCGTCAAAAAATTTTAATTAAGCCTTTTGTCAGAAACCAGGCGTTCTATTTTCTTGGTACTTCTTGTAGAGGGATAGGGACCATAGGGTGCTTTTCGCAACGGATCTTCTGTCTCACACCCTGTATCACTCTCTGTCCTATTTTTTATTATATTGCTATTTCTCCTACATAAATATCATGTTTTAGTTCTTTTTTATTTTCTTAAGATCCAATAACTATTAATTGAGTAAAAAAAAGAAAGATATTTTAGATATCGTCCTTGTTTGAATTGTAAGTTATTTGAGATATTTTTTTACTGTAGCACTTTTTGTGATGTGATGTATGTGAGATAAAAAGGTAATTGAGAAGATAAAAAGGTGTATTGAAAATTGTAATGATGATGTAAGCAAATATATTTGAAGAAATAATCCGCTGTCCAAACAAGGTTACGTAAATGTGGATGAGTAAATGTTTTTGTAACTCATCCCAACAAAAACATTCCTGTTCTAAATATTATCTTTGTCACAAATAAAAAATTTATTTGATTGCCGTATGAACTTTTGAGTGAGATATATCATATATGAAAGGACAAAAACAATTGTATTATTTGTCAATTGTTTAGCAATCGAGGGCTTGATTAAATGAGAGTTGATAAAGTGGATGTGCAGATTTATCAGTACCAATTAAAATCGATGGTTTATCAATCTCTTGCACTCTAAGCATCAATGACAAATGCCAATGTACCCGTAACACACACACACACACACACACACACACACATATATATATATATATATATATGTTGACTAGTAAGATGCTCTAATTTATCATATTGTGCATCTCAATATTCGTTGATACGTAAAATTTACACGGTATTGCTATGTCTTAGAGCATCAATTACATGCTGTAGCAGCATATACGTACACTGCTCATCTGTCTCTTAACGCACGGCTATACAATCAAGAAAAGACTCGCGTTCAAAACTGTGCTTCAAATTAAACTGCGTCTTTGTTCTTGTTTTGTTTTTTCCCCCCCACTTTCTTCCTTCTTTCACAAGCGCAAGTGCTTTTCTGCAATGCAATGATCTTTATAGGTCGTCGTCACAAGGGTTGGTCAAGTCCAAAGTGACCAAAAGGGGATAATGTTTTTGTCATATGGGATCTAATTAAATCAAGATTCGGAAATGAGATGCATGTATATCAGTCCATATAAAATGCACTTGCAAAAAAAGATCATGCAGTCTCGAAACTTTCCTAGTTATCAAATTCATTTTCATCATCTTCTTTATCCCATGACCTACCTCACAACCACATCATCCGCTTCTGCCGCTCTTACTCATTTATTTGCTTTTATAAAGAAGAAGAAGAAACTGTTTCTGTAACGTATGACATCATTGATCCAAGGCCAGCTTGAAAATTAAGGGATTTCCTCTTTTGGTGGATACAAATTCTTTAGGAACCACGCTCCTTTTAACCATGTTGGAACCATCTTTAAAGTAAAATAGAATATCATGCTCACCAATAATGGACTCTTTTAGTCATCTGTCATAGCTCCCCGAATCCTGATCAGCAACTTGCTCGAACGCTTTCTCTTTGGTTTCGAAAAAATAATTAGCCACTGCCCGCTTCTACTTATCCTGTTGTTCTGAAACCTTTTTGTCTAAGACCTCTCCTTCAAAGGGAAAAAATGGAACAAAGAAAGATAGTAGTATGTTGAACCATGGGGTTTTAGAATAAGCCTTCTTTATCCTCCTTTCTTCTTCTGGGATGGAAACTGTTGTTCTCTCCTGAATGTAACTAACTAATTTCCTTCCTAACTAAGATATACACCACAAGTATAGAATTCTTACAGCCACATATATATATAAAGAAAAGAAAATGCTCACACTTGGATAAACTCGATATTTAAAGACCAAGTTTTAAAAACTAAGGTTGTGTTTGGATTGCATTTTCCTTGATTTTTTATGAAAAAATTACTGTAGCGATTTGATGTATATAAGGAAAAAAGATAATATGGAAATGTGATCACGGAAAACGGCGTAATTTTTTGACGGAAAACAAGGCCTAAGTCTACCAAAGTTTTGGCCAAAGAAAAAAGCGTTAAGTGCCGTTAATGATTCAAATTGCATCAAGAAATTCAAATTGCTTTTTTTTTTTTAAGTCTTTTTGTCGTTAGGTTCCTTGCGGAAACAACATGGACGTCAATGGTTAAAACTTCAACCCAAAAAAAAAAAAAAAAAAACTAGTTATGACTCAAAAAACAACAATGTTGACAGAGCCAGGAGAAAGGCTAATAAGGTGGGAAGGGAGGGGGATTTGCAGCTGCCGGAGTCGTCATCGTAGTCATCGTAGTCATCGGAGTCTCCGCCCAGATCACTCCCACCAGTTCCGTTACCCGCAGTCCACCGGCCCATCCGACTACCCCTGCTTAAAACCAACATTTTAACAAAGGCTTTAATTCGGTCGAAGCCCAGCAACAGCCCCACCCTTAATGGGCCAAAAAGTGAAAACGGAGAGAGGACAAGAAAAGGGGAAAAAACAAAAAAAAGCGTTAAAGTACGAGAGAGAGAGAGAGTGAAAAGGGTAAAGACCTGGAGCCCCAAACCCCGGCATTCATGGTGAGCTGGTCAATAAATGCAGCAGACTTGGGCTCCACGCTGTATGCCTTCTCGTATTTGACCTCAACGCCCTCGCCAGAGGTTACAAAGTAGGCTCCATTTACCATAATGTCCCCATCACTCCTCCAATTCCAGCCTTTCCATGCATCCTCTCCTGTCTCCACGCGCTTCGTCACCTGCCCCGATGCAACACCAGGCAAGCTCCAATATCAGCAGCATCCAATGCAAAATTAGTACTGCTATATCTAGCAGACCTTACTTTTTTTTATTAAAAAAAAAAAAGAATGAACTTTTTGCGTATGCCGCTTTTGTTTTTGTTTTTTTTTTCTCTTAATAGTGAAAGCTACTCCATACGATTTTCTGAAGCACTATTCGATCATACCATGACAACAGAAAATTCTCCCAACCAATGATAAATAATTGGTAGTGTAAAAAAAATTTTCTTGTTTGCTGGAAATTATGAAAATCCGTAGTGAAAATGTGAACCATGAAGAGAACCCCTATATATATATATATATATCGATACGATAGCTTCCTACACTATAAAGGGGAAAATCTGAAAAGGTCAGTCGGAGGGAACTGAATCATTATCAGATTAAACGAGTGCACTGCGCACCTGTTGGATTTTTTAAGTAAGATCACATTTAATCATTTAATTATAACAAATTAGTGAGAGACAAGATTTGGTGGTAGCTACTAGCATTGCCTCCTACCCAACCAAGCCTAAGCCTTTATGCATTGGTGGTGAGAACCCTAGTAAACTCCAAAGTTTTTGGTATTTGTAAGTGTTGGTGCTAATGGTAATTTAATCTGTATGATGGTCAATATGAATCCTACCAATACCATGCATATTTCGTGATCAAACTCAAATGCTACGTTTCTTCTACTCCCTACATTGCAAAATAAACATTGAATGCTCGTAACTGGGGGTTACTCGTCGTCGTCGTCCACCACCGGTGTCTAAACAACAAATTTGTAGTATAGCATCAGGTAAATAATGATGATCCAGAATGAGAGTGGTGTTATATATATATATATAATTACTACGAGTATTATATACTAGTGAGTGAGTGGTAGTAGTAGAGTAGAGTACCTCCTTAGCATTGCGGTCGGAAGGGGCGGTGTAACGGTTTCCTTGGCTATTGATGGTGGGATTACCGCTTCCCCCAATGGCGTACATCTCCCACCGTGTAAAATCATTGTTGACCACATGAATATACCCTCTCCGGCACCTGGGCATCCTCTGAATCAACTTTTGACCGAAGTGATTGAATGCAATGGTGACCTGCATCCCCGAATCCGGCAAATAATCGTCGCTGTGCCCCAGCAGCATTACCTCGTTGTGGTGCGAGAAATGGTTGTTCGAGATGGTAATCCCCGTGGACCCCATCACCGCATCAATCAGCCCGTCTTTACAGTGTGATAAAGAGCAATGATCAATCCAGATATCCCTCGCTCCGAATATGGATATCCCATCACCGTCCGATAATGTCCGCCACCCGTAGTGCGTGGGGCTCGACCGTATGTTTGTCTCCCCCGCCTGGTAGCAGTGATGTACGTGAATGTTGTGGATTATTATGTTAGTGATGTATTGCAGCGTTATGCACCCTCCCCCCGTTATGTGGACGTTAGCCCCCCGGCCGTCCAAGGTTTTGTAGGAGTTGAATATTAACTCTTCGGATAGACTGATGACCATGTTGGCGGCGAACACTATCCAGAGGGGCTCCGTTTGGATAACGGCGTAGCGGAGGGTGCCTGGGGCAGGGTTCACCGGGTCGTGGTCAGAGGAGTCGGTGACCACGTAGTAACGGCCCCCCTTGCCCCCGAGGGCGTACTGTCCGAAGCCGATGGCGCAGTCGGCTAGGCGCTGGCGGTCGAGCTGCCAATTGGTGTCGCAGCGCCAGCAGTCGTCGATTGGATTGCCGGTTATGCAAGAGGACTGGTCGTTGGACTCGTACGACAGCATTTGTCTTCTTGAAATTGAAACATTTACTTTTCTGCGCAATGATTAATTAAGAGGTAAATTTAGTATCACCTCATCATATGCTACCCGTCTCTGTTTAATGTTTAGCAGCTTATTACTACCAAAATAATTTTCATCTTTGTTCTAATCACCACCATTGATGGAGAAAAGCCATAGTAAGAATGTGGACTAATTAAAATACGGGGTCCAGTAATAAGGGGGCTAGGGAACCAATAAATACGCAGACAATGACACAACTTCTTCAATCACAAAAATAACAAAATAAAAAAAAAAAAAAAAAACAGAGACAAAAGTTCTTGGCTTCTTTAGATTTCCCGGAGAAGCAAAGAGCTGCAGGTCGCTAAAGAGAAGAAAAATGCAGTACACAATGCATCCACCCAAAGGGACGATATAAAAAATATACATATATATATATATGGAACTAGCAAAGAGCTACATTTACATTGAGCAAACAACATCTATATTGGACGAACTTATCAAGTAGTACTGTCTATTCAGTCCCAGTTGAGGGGTGAAACATGTCACCCAAAAAGAAAATGCTCATGATACAACAAGGTAGTTAAACCGGATCTGTAAGACCTCAGCAAAAAGGAAGGCCTCCCCTTGTTCTTTCAGAAGAAAAAGAAATTCTCAATATACATTAACAAAGAAAAAAAAAATGGAAGGGGTAACATCTTTCTGTTTGGGGTGTTTAGACAAAAGCGAACCTAGACAAGTTTATAATGTGGCTTGATAGAGCGCCAAAAACAGGCGACAGAGTCTAGTAAACTGTAAGAGATGGTAAAACCTGTGGATATCTTCAACAACAGCTTCAGGGTTGGGGTGTTGACCTGGAAGAGTAAGGTTGTGGAATGCTGAACCAAAGGGCAAGAATGAGATGGCAAGGCAAGTAAGGACAATGCAGGTGCTGTGGAACATCTTCACCACTGTGTTGATTTTTGAGACAAACTGATGCACTCGTTTCAGTGCAGGGGAAGATGCCTAACGCCTATAAATGCAGCATTGTTCCGTATGCAGTAAATTGAGTTGTTTTCAGTAAGACAGTGAGCAAAAAGAAAGCTGAATGGTAAAGTTAAGTAACTATATATGGCTGGTGGGATTAATGTAGATGGAGAAGAGAAGATGCAGTCGTGGCTTCAACTCTTCTTCCTCCTTCTCCTAGTCCTACAACATCAGAACAAGAGCCCCTGTTATTTTCCTTTTGCCATGATTTATAATGATCTTGTTCAAAGAATCTCGGGGATACTCACTGTTGCAAAAGCTAAAAGATTGGGAGGGAAAAGAGGTCCTTCTAATATGCTTTTCTTTTCCTTTTCTTTCTTTTTTAAATTCTTTTCTATATATATATATATATATATATTGGGTCTCTGGTCTGTCTAAAATTCGATTTCATTCTTCTGGGATGGCTCACTGCACAGTCTTCTGGTAAGAGAAATTCAGAACTGCTAGCATGCGCTGATACGCTATTTTGACCAAATAGCGGCTCTTACGAAGTTTAAGTTTCGACAAAGCAAAGGCAACAAAAAGAAATAAATACAAAAAAAACAGGGACAAAAGTTTTCGAAATTCTAGTCGTGAGACTAGTAGTCTATTTTGATCACTTCATTACCCAATATGGTGAATTTGTTAATAAGTTTTAAACAACAGAAAAAAGTTTTGACAAGCTAATTGTTACCACTGCTATCTATATTGTAGGGTGAAATTACAACTAGTTGATAACCCAAGCAATGAAAGGGTGGGTCCTGGGTAGTGTTGTATAATCTCAATTTTTTTTTCAGAAACGATAACTATTGTATAACCTAATTTATCCTACACTGAGGAAAGGGCGAACCTAAGAAGGCTCAAGACAACCCGGGGAGGATGATTGTTGTACAATCCCAATTGCCAAAGTTGTTTTCTCATTCACATTCTCAAATCAACTAAAATTTTTGAAGCAATATAATGATCTCGTTCGATCAAAAAACCTTAAAAAAAGTTCGGATTAGTTTTCATCTAGTGCTAAAAAATGCTTAAAAAATACATGCAATATCCTTTTTTTTCTTGTTGATGCGATAGATTCTACGCTTACTCCTACTTTTATTCTACATTAAAGGAAAGAGATTCAAACCAAACAGATGTTTTTACGCTTATTGGTGGCTTTTTTCACCCAACGAGAGTTTTAAGCATATATCTGATGTCAACTGCTCTAGAGCCAGTTGGTTTCTCGTCAACCTTGATTAATGGACAGTGCAAAAAAGACAAGAAGAAAGTAAGAAAGAAGGAATCCTATGGTTGTACTGGTGAGTGAGGTAAGTTGCAAAGGACGCAAGTCAGAATAACGTTAGTGAGTGTGCTACTAACATTTGACTCCACAGTACAAGTGAAAACGGGATATTATATAAAAACTGGAATAAATTTTTAGATAAGACATAAACTTGGTAAATTGAAATAACGAAAAAAAAAATGTTTTGGATAAGGTATAAACTTGGATTAAAATGTTGTCCCAAACAAACCGGATCAAATTGTTGGACAAGGATAAAATTCAAATAAGCAAGTTACTAAATCCACAGCCCATCAATTCGCTTCGCTTGAGTTGTCAATGATTAAACTAATAAATTCCTCTAAGACAGTATTTAACACCGATTAGTATCTGTTAAATCAAAGGGGGTGACTGTTATTTTTTAAACTTTAAGGGGTCTACTTGTATTTTGGCTAAACCACAAGGGAGGTGGATGTAATTAACCCAAAAAAATTACAAACTGTGTATGATTAAGAAGCAAATAGATGAGTTGGAGCGGGGCTCAAGTTCAACTCAAACCAGCTTTATGGATTATTGCGCTGAACTGAGCCATGTGCCGGCGACCTTTTTTCACACTCCCGTTTCAACGTTTCTGGTTTCTGGTTATGTTTTTAACGGATAAAAATCCACAAACAATCCAGTGGTCCTCTGGTCTGGTCCACATTTAACTGAAGTTTGTCCCTACGTCATAAAAGTCGTTACTAATTTACTCCATGCCCCACCATCAGCTGATATAGGGATCGGCGACGAGCTTCCTTTCTCCCGTTCGGTCTTTCTTTCTTTCTTTCTGGGGATTCCGGACGGAATGGAGCGCCCATTTAGTCGTTGGACCCTTTGTTCTTTTCATGCCATTGTCTCTCGTTCATGCTTACTGAAAACTTTATGCTTCTGTTGAGCTTTTCCAGGTACTACCCGTGATTAACTCACTTGCATGGGTAAAAGCTTCCCTAATTTTTGGCTACCCTTCTGTCCTGTCCTGCCCCAAACCAACTGATTTTCGTCAATTGTTTGTGACAATTCCTAATCTTACCAGGGAAAAATGTTCAGAATAGACATTGAGTATTCACATGGCTAGCATAAGACTCTTTTTGCTTTTCTTCCTTTTATCAAGTTCTCAATTGATGGATATCTTCTAACGAGCTTGGCAAGGTGGAAAATGTATAAAGCTTAGAGGAAAGAAGTCCATGCTAGCGCATAATCAAGTTCCACAGCATCATTTATCATTATTAAAGAAACAATTATAGTTGGTATTTTTAGTGTTGCAAGAGCTTGCACTGATATGCCTTGCCCCAAAAGTTTCCCAAGGATCATGCGCTTTGATGCCACTTTCACTTTGAAGATGCTGGAATATTGTGCATGGATAAGTGTCTTTTAAATAGGTAAATCAACGTTTTTCCAAAAAAAAAAAAAGAAGAAGAAGAAGAAGAGGAAGGTAATCCAGTTGCGGCCGGCATCGGGATTACGTAATTAGAGGGACAAACATTAACATTTAAATTTGGAACAATTCATATATACACTGACAGTGTATACCATATCACGGTTGGATGCGCGGCACATTTGTAAAATTTGAATTTCAAATTCAAATTTGAATTATATGTCATGACATGCATCTAATGATAAAAGTATATACACTGATTGTCAGTATATAAAAAATTAATTCTTAAATTTAATCAACAAGAATTAACATTTCATGGAAAGCGATAAGTACCACGGGGATGACCATTTTCCTTGGCATATTGGAAGGTCACTAGGCCAGGCCTTTCCATCCCGCATCGAAAGATTGTGGGGTAGTTATCCTGAGTTTAACATTTTCAGCCGCACTTTCAATTATCAATTGGCTGGATGATGTTGGTTTGTGGGTTCCACCTTAGATTGTGTTTTGCACCAGGATTTCGATTACCTCTGAGTATTAATATAATTTTGTTGTGCTATTTCCAGTAATTTCGATTGTTGAAAAAAATCAATAAATTTGGTGAGACGTGTCGATTACCTCTGAGTGTTAATCTAATTTTGTTGTGTTATTTCCTGTAATTTCGATTGTTGAAAAAAACTAGACCAGGCCTTTCATTTATTTATTTATTTGTTTTTTCACGATCCTTCATGGCTGTTGTAAAATGATGCGGATGGATGACACAAATGTACAAGTCCAGTCTGGCCTAAAAGGCTCATTACTCGTATGTAGGAGAAGAACATGCATGCTTTAGACAAATGCATAATACGTTAAAGAACCATCTTTTCTCTCCGTGTCTAATCTCGAAACTGCTGTCTGAGTAATAATAATAATAATTGAGGTTACCTTTCTTGACTAGTAATTGAGGGAGTTTGCATTTTCACCTTTGAGGCTGCCCTACAAATGCACGCAGGATAGGAGTATTATTGGTGTAAGATGTGGAGTGCAGTAGATGGTATGTTTTCGTCAACAAATTCTGGATTGATGATCAATTGAATATTAAGATTGGGTATTTATTGTTCATTCGCAAGGCGAAATTCTTCGGGGAATGATTTAAAGCTACTGTGGAAAGGATACTTTCAATTTGGATCCAACATAATGCGGTCCACTAGAACTCGTCTTTTGACTCTTGTTGCCGCTCTGTAGGCCCATCAAACTTGACCTTTAACCGTTTGGTGGGTCGCTCACTTTTTGGATTTTCATCATTGTGCATAAATGGGGGCCATGTAACTCAAGTAACGACGAAAGACGGATTTGTAGCACATCAACGATTGAGCAAAACTGTTGTCCATATCATTCCTTAATTGTTTTTTTTTTTTTTTTTGTCTTGCAAAAAAGTGGTTACCTCGTGCTGATCGGAGCTGGAAAGACTTTCTTCGAGATTAATTCAAGCCTGGAAAATTATATGAGTGGGCCGGACTTCTGAGCTTAAGCCCATCTGAGCCAATCAAGCTTAACAGACCATGGAAACAAAGCATATGTTGCTGCATCTTGGAAGGGAGTACCAAGGACTACGGAAAACTGGGAGCCAGTTCTTGAACGGGGAATTCCGCAGAAATGTTTTGATAGATTTTAGCATTTGTATAGGATGCATTAGCGTAAATGTATTGGGCAATTTTGACGAATAGGTAGCTGCCTGCTACTGTGTAAGAATTTACTGGTCCTTATCAATAAAATTTCCAATCTTACCTGAAAAAGAAAAGGGGGAGCTGAAATTATATTGCATTTTACATATGAAGCATTTAATCCTACCCACAAAAAAAAAAAAAAAAATTTTTCGTTGTGGATTAAAAGAAGAAACCGCTAATGCTATTATAGTACAAGTTTTTGTTTTTTTTTTGGTGTTTCACATATGTCATCGTTCGTAGGTGGTCCGAGCCAGGAAACGAATTGGAATTTGGTGAGGAAGATGCTAAACGTGGCCATCATCAGAAGTCCTGCTCCGTACTTCCCCGTTTTCCTGAGCATTATTAACCCGCACGGTAGCTGGTGCATGCGGATTTTGGCCACCGTCCCAGGACTGCCTTGGAATTTTATGATGATTGTTCAAGCCAGGCTGATCATCATCGTACGTCGAAATCTCTGTTGCCACGTTCTCCTCTTGTGCCCCCGCGGCCAAGTCGATGTTGGCCTTTCTTTCAATCATCAGCATCCTTCTCCCGTTGAGGCCAAAACTCGAGCTTAAAGCCCCGGAAACAAAAAGCAGCAAGGCTATTAGGAGCTTCATCGGCGGAGAGTGGACTCCTGAAATCGATCATCAACTTCACAGGCGGGTGAGGTGACTCGAAACTCGGTGGCCGTTTATGCCTACGAAGCTAGTACTCCTTACATAGAATTCTGCTGAAGTGGGTGGAGGCCTTGAGAAAGATCTGTGACTATTTAATGCGGGCTTCCCAGCAAAGTTGGCACAATATTTTGTCTGGAAGATTCAGTCTGCTGTTGTAATGCTCCATTTTGTGTCTCCTGCAGGTATTTTTCTACAGGAAAATTGGAGACAGACAG